CTCAATAATAAATTTGTTTTTGGGGCCTCTATTGTGAAAAGTTTTTTTCCACTGGAAAAATGCATTTACTTAGCTCCTGACGCCAATGAAAGCTTGGGGCTTCTCTTGAGCTGAAGATCTGAGGCTGCAAAGCAAAAGGATTGCTGAGAACAATTACAAAGCACCTGAGAAAGGAAGCTGAATACAATCTATGAAAGGAAAATGAATACTACAATCAATTACAAAAGATCCCTCACCAGGAATCCAGATTTGTTTTGGTGATAGTTCATTATAGATGCCCCCCCTGTTTGTTTGAAGGGGGGGGGGCCTTTACTAATCAGGATCCAACATTAATGCAATTTGATCAACAGCTTTGTCTAGTCAATTTTGAGGCCTCAGAGACACGTTGTGAAAAACTTAGCCACCTTGAGACTTCCGACCAGCTATGTTGATGGTGGGAAATCCATCTGCCAAATTTTGCAAGTGCATAGCTTTGCGCTTGCTCACGTAATCTCGCACGTTTGGATCTCCCATGGCTCTGGAACGGCATAATCCACTTCGGTAAAATCCACTTGTCCAGTTTACTTGATTTTGGAGCCCTGGCTTCATCCATCCCTGCGCCTTCTCGGCGCCTGCATCCAACAAGAGCCGAACCACTTCCACGTGGCCATTCACAGCTGCCCACATTAAAGCTGTCTGACCTCGGCTGGGTTGGGCATGGAGTCTTCCGCAACACAGACACACTGCCTAGGCCAGCTTGAAGTTCAAAGCATGGCTGGACAAACTTGCCCAGCTGATCACTGCGCAGCTTGTTGGCGGAGATCATTCCGTTGAGAGGACAAGAGATCTCCAAAGTCTCTGGTGGTCCACCCCTTCTAAAAAACACACGTTTCCAATATGCGGTGGTCTACGTACTTTCTCATTAAACCCTTTAGTTTGACTCAAACTTGTGATTTTCAACAACTTGAGTTAAGTTAACTCCGACAACATAACACGTAATTATGCGTAAGTAAATCTTCCAAAGCTACACCAACTTAGTTATGAGATGTTATGAGTATCTTAACTTGGCGGTAGATCACAGTAGATTCACAGCTGCAGCAGAGTTCTATGACTGAAAACCTATAGAAACAGCCGTCCAAGCTATAGTATAGTATCTGTTTTGGGCCACTAGCTACGCAGTAGGTAAGATAGCAACCTATATACGGCAAAGGCTACATATTACGCGTCGGGTGAAAATACAGATTGGAAGCTTGTGTGGACGCCGCATCTGAGCTCGGTGCCACCTCTGTCTTGGCAATCCTAACAAATGGGTCCCACTTGCCAGATGAAAGCCCCAGGCTTGGAAGATAATGCAATTTGATCAACAGCTTTGTCTAGTCAATTTTGAGGCCTCAGAGACACGTTGTGAAAAACTTAGCCACCTTGAGACTTCCGACCAGCTATGTTGATGGTGGGAAATCCATCTGCCAAATAAGTTGGACATATACCTGGCTATGTTGCTTGAGCCGTGCCTTCTCAGCACCAGCTTCAAGCAAGGCAACCACAATCTTCTCACGACCCTTGAGAGCTGCTAGATGCAAAGCTGTCCAACCTTAGAAAATGGATGAACATGGCATTTCAAGGCATGTTTGCAAGAAGCAAGAACTCCGGATCATGGGAGCGCTGGCGAAAATCCTCTTCAGATGTGGTTGCCGCCTGGCTGAGCCGGATCAACGGGCTGGTTTGAGCCGGCATCAAATCATTTGCACTGAGACTGAATGCTGTGAATAAGTCAAGCTACTGAAGCAAAAACACTGCTTGGGAAGATGATTGAAGCCTGTCAGTTGCAACAGTGCCTGGTTAGCACCATTCTTCAACAAGACTTCCAGGACATTCAACTGCCCGCAATCAGCTGCTAGCAGCAGCGGGGTTCGGCCTCGCTGCGACAGTGGCCCTGTGCGCGAATTATTGAAAGACATCGTGTTACTAGTAGCGTCCTTGTTGCTAGTAGTAAGGCCAGAAGAAACCCCTAGTCGCATCCTTGCTCCTAGTAGCGATGCCAGGAGCCCCTAGTAGCGAACCTTGTTCCTAGTGCTGTACTGAATGGGATGTTGAGGCCCATGCCAAATTTGTTGACAAGTTCCTGGAGGAGACAAGGACAAATAACCCGGCGGGTGGATTTCCGAACCTGTGGCTTGCACGTCCGCAGGATTTGTCCATCTGGCTGAAATGCGCATTTTTCATCTCGTTTTGTTCTTCGAAGACTGCAACATGATGGCATTTCCATTGGGTTTCACCATTCGTCTGTGATTTGCGATGTAAACCGCGTGTCAGACTGAAGGAATCAGCATCACCAGGGAGTCATGCTTTGCGTTTTCCCATCGCCTGAAGGAAACCGTGAAAAGGAAAGAGGCCAACGATCATCCAACAATGACAGGTTCCTGAACAAACAACAGGATGGGGTCAGATGGAGACGTCAACACTTCTACCGAAGAGTCCAAGCACAACGCGTCTACAACAAAAAAGGAGCCAAGACTGGCTGCTTCTTAAATGAAATTACACCAGCATAGACCCAGATAGCTAGGAAGAATCCCACGACCTGTTGACATGCGACTGGCTGGAACAAGAATGAGCCAGCTTACCTCCACAGCGCGCACAATCAGCTGACACCAGCACCTGTGCGCTTTCCCAGCTGACAACACCGGCAGCGGCGCCAGCACCCGACGCCGCCTGTCTTAAACGCGCGCTCAGCCAGCTCACAGCACCAGCACCCAGGACCACAACACCAAACACCCTTTCGAAAGCGCGTGCAGCCAGCTCATTCTTATTTGCAGCGAGAACCCCATAGCTATCCCTATTTGGGGAATAACAACGCATGATCTTGCGCGTATAAGTTTACGCGCAAAGTACGCGCGCAAACAGCAACGCCCGTAAGTGCCATTGGCCCAAGGCCAAGCAGTATCCAGCGCCAATATTGACTTTGTAGCATGCTTGAAGCAACGATCTGCAGCACGATAAGGCCGTATGATCTTGCGCGTATAAGTTTATGCGCACAAAAGTATGCGCACAAATGGCAACGCCCGTAGGCTTCACTCGCCCAAGGCCAAGCAGTATCCAGCACGACTTGTGTGTGTAGCATGCTGAAACATGCTGAAGCAATGGTCGGTTGAGAGCCTGACGTTGCGCATAGAACATTATACATACAAAAGTATGCGCGTAAACAGTACACCCCTTGACACAGCTGTCGGCCAAAACAGAACCTGAAGAGTGTAAATACCCCACAGCGCTAATAGACAAAGAACGCTCAAGTGACAACACCATATATGATGTTGCGTGCATAAGTTCATGCGGCCCATGACTGCTGGCACTTCATTGTCAGAAGCGGCGCTTGGTCGCCCTTCACTGCTGCAAGCGGCGGTTTGTTACCCTTCACTGTCAGAAGCGGCGGTAGTTATCACTTCACTGTTTATGCAAAGGCAAAAAATGACGACTAGAGGAGTTCAGCACGCCAGCTCACGACGCCCAGCGCCAGCACCCAGCACCGGTATACCCAGCACCCAGCACCCGGCACCGTGTCACCACGCGCACAGCCAGCTCACAGCACTCAGCACCAGCACCACAGCCAGCACCGGCACCCGGCACCCAGCACCAGCAGCCTGTCTCCACCGCTCACAGCACCACCACCAGCACCAGCACCCGGCACCCAGCACCAGCACCAGCAACCTGTCTCGAAAGCGCGCACGGGCAACTCATTGTTATTTGAAGTAAGAACACCATAGCTGTCTTTATCTGGGGAAAAATACCGTCAAACGAAACAACAAAAGCAACAGAAGAGAGAAGACAAACCTCGTCGCCTCCGGACATTCGAACCGAAACTGCAAGCGCAACATGAAGCAACAGAACGTTCTTATCCCCCCAGCCCCCCCACACCCCAAGGCAGGGTTTGTCAGAGTACTTGCCACCGCTCAACAGTCAACAGGAGTGTTGAAGTTTGGGCAGCGGACATTAGAGTGGCATCTTGGAGGAGCAACCGTGCTGTGCAAAGCTTGGGGCGATCACATCGTGTGCGATCTGCCACCCAACTCAACAGCTCCTGCCTTGTTGACATTGTTGCGAAGCAATAGATTCACGACAGCAAGGTGACCCTTCCGCGCAGCTCGATGTAGCAAAGTGTCTCCTCGACTCAATGCAGAACAGGAGAAGTGAAGGCCGAGGCCCTCATGGCAGCAAAGGGCCCGGGCCATGCTCATCGCTTCTCTCCTGCCAAAATGCTCATTGCAGTTCAGGCTGCAGGAATTTATTTCAACGTTATTTTAAAGACGCAAGTGGAAGTCCAAGGACTCAAAGGCAGCACTTTATCATCAGCTTCCTGAAACAATGTCAACGTCAGGAAGATGCTTCCCTCCTGTTCAGCTTTGTCGAAAAGGACCTCCAAAACTTCAGCTTGTCCGAATTCTGCTGCCCAATGGGCAGGTAACTCTCCTTGGTCAAAGGAACGAAAAACTAATTACAACAAAACCAAAGCAACCACGCACAGTTGCAGACTGGACTGGGATATATTCACGACCGGTTTTCGATTGTCGATTTCATTCTGCACTGGACGAATGAGATGCAATGACACATTTCCTGACTCGACTTTTGCAAGTACTTAGCTTGCTTCTGCTACAATACAGTTTCCACAATGGTTTTCACTGTTTCAAAAGATTCCTTCTCAATCCCCAGGCATTGACAGCGAAGCTAGGAGCTGAGACGCGCACCGACAGAGTTAGCCACAGCCTGAGTTGACAGTCGAAAAAACAGTTTCTGCAACAAACTTCTTGCTGGCAATGGTGAAAGAAGGCTTACCGGGCACCTTGTTTGCACCTTGATCAATCAAGAACTTTGCAATCTTTGCATGGCCACCCTTGGCAGCCCAGTGCAAGGCCACCTCACCTCGGCTCAGACTTTGATCGCGTTTAGAAAGCAATGACGGGTTGGATGGATATTGACAGTCTCAGAGCGCTTCTGTCCAAAAAAATCCAAAAGTTATCCAGACAAAGACCCCAAACAGGCATAAACAGGCACACAACGATATGAAAGGGCACATATGAGAGCATGCAGCACGCGTATGAGACCACACATATACGAGCACCTGTATGAGGAGTGCAACACGCATCATATGAGGCAAGCACAAGAGAGCACACACACCATAAAACACACATATGAGAACTCACGTATGAGAGCGCATATCAAAACACCCACACGCAGAGCACAAATACACGAGCACACGTAAAGGAGCACAAAGGACACGCGTCTTCCCCGGAAAATGACCATCAAGTACAAAATGTGCACGACAAAAATAACCACAGCCACACACAGCCAAAATACTGCGCCTGCCACGAAAAGCGACCATGCAAAAACCGTGAGGACTACATAGGACAACTTTTTACGTGAAGGTCGACCAAAAAGCGGCTGGGAGGCAAATGCGAACCCTGGCCACCAACCCTGCCTTGCCCTCACCGTAAGAACCCTTCAGTTGACAACCTGTTTGGGGAAGTGGAAGATGACTTGGCATACGTCAACACAGAAACGAATCAAACACACTCTGCAGACTAAGGCATCCAACCCCCGGCCGTCGGAGCATCCTGTCGAACAAGCCACAGTACCGTGAGTTGCAACGGGCTCTTCTGTCAAACTCTGAGCATTGCAGCATCCAATGTATACTGTATACTTATCAATGTGGAAGCACATCATTTGCAGTTCTAGCTAGCTTGCGTCACTAGTAGGGATGTAGGTCAGGCTAGCCAGGCCTTGTCCACGCCCATGGCCAATATCTTCTGCAGCTTCTCGAGGTCGCCATCACGTGCGGCTGCGTGAATGGCATCGACACCTTGGGACTTCAAGAGCCGCCGGTCTGATGTTAGGACCACACGTTCTTGTTCACCACCATACGGTACGGACCACAAGTCACCATGCAACCTGTTTCTGTGCGAAACTGTAGATTGCCTCGTCTCAGTGTGGCTTTGATCTACACGAGCACTAAAGTCACTGTGAGCCACTGTTCTCCCTGCAAACGCGTCTGCTGCATCTTTGTACAGGTGCTTGTTCCTGGAAGGAACCTCTCTCGTGTCAGTGAGGACTCGGCCCGCGCGTTCGTCCTGCCACTCGAGCAAAGCAAGATCGGACCGGGCTGCAAGTATACAGTGCAGACTGACAACTGGGCTTGGGCATGGGATTAACTGTTCACAGGTAATGGAAGGATTGCATCATGGGGACAGCCACATTGTGAAGCCTGAATGTTTCCCGTAAAGCATTAAATGATGGTGACAACCACCATGAAGCAAACACATTGGGATGTATTCTTGTCCCCCCACCTCTTCATGTTAATGGGCACGGTTTCTCCTGCACACTTCGCAGATTCTTGTGCAGTTCCTCCTTCTCCGCCTGCGTTCTTTGCTTGTCAACAATGGCAACACATGTCGACATGATGGACATCGCTCTCAAAAACACAAAACTAGCTAGGAGCAAGGACGCTACTAGGGGCTCCTGGCATCGCTACTAGGAGCAAGGACGCTACTAGGGGCTCCTGGCCTTACTACTAGGAGCAAGAAGCTACTAGACTCAGATAATCCCCGCGCCTCGCTACAACCTTTGTCCTTCAGTGCAAGCTGCAGCCGCAGTTCTTGCGCTTGCAGCTGCAGCTCCTGGTGCTGCTGGGGATCTGATCCCAGTAGCCGGAGCTCCTCGTTCAGCGCCCGTACCTGTTCCACGACCTGCACGCGTTTGGCGCGGCACAGTTCCAAACCATCCAGGCTTTAAAAACATGAAATCAATCAATACTGCCTCCTTCGGAGTATCGTCCTTCTCCAATATCTGCTCCAATTTCTCTTGCAACTTCTGGTGCTTCTTGGGATCTGCTACCGGTATTCGGAGCTCAGCCTCCAGCTCCAGTATCCGTTCCACCTGAATGTTGCTGGTCAACGCCAAGCCTATAGTAACTACATGCCATGTGTTGACAGAGTTTTCAAACATCCAGACTAAGAACAACAAGAATTTATCC